AACCATAACCAACACATGCCTAACCCTAACCAAGTCTTCACCCTAAAATTAATGAATCCCCTTATGGGGACCTCCAATTTGTCCCCATAAGGGAGGCGAGTCCCCACACGTGACTGTGTAAACAGATTTAGGTCCCCACAAGTATAGTAATGCTAGGCCACACACACACACACACACACACAAACACACACACACACACACACACACACACACACACATACCATGTATGCATCACTTCAGGGGACATTACATTGACTTACATGCATTTCCTGGAGACTTATCCTAACCTTAACCAACATGCCTAACCCTAACCAAGTCTTCACCCTAAAATTAATGAATCCCCTTATGGGGACCTCCAATTTGTCCCCATAAGGGAGGCGAGTCCCCACACGTGACTGTGTAAACAGATTTAGGTCCCCACAAGTATAGTAATGCTAGGCCACACACACACACACACACACACACACACACACAGTTGGTCTTTTCATGGCATATTTTAACAAAAAGAAAAGGGTAGAACATCACCAGACTTCATTTTTTAAAGTTGAAGACACAAGTGCTCCTGATGCACCGGGAGGCAATCCATATCCCCTTCAAAAACAATGCATGCATTCCCAAAAAATGGCAAGGGACACTGGTTTGTTTATTATGCAAAGTGTTCATTACACTGGCTCCATGATTAAAAGTGTGGCCACACACCAGTCAACCTCAGGACCCTGACAAAATTGTAATAACTTAACAAAGCTGTATGCTAAGACATATGCTAAGACAACTTGTTTCCCTGGGTAGTTGTAGTGGTAGTATAAGGATCAACGAGAGGTTTGTGTGTTGTGCTGTCCTTGGTGGTTTAAAAGCAGCAGAGCTCCTCTGGTTCAGCACCACGGACAGAGACACTGAACTGAAGCTGTGTTCATTCTAATAACCAACTATGATCTGTTACTCAACTAAAAGTACCAAAACAACAACGTAAAAATACCTAATTACAAAATATATGTTCTGCCTTAAAGAAGGATTACCAAGTAAATGTACTTTAAAAAAGACTGAAAACTAAACGTTCTGCTACACCAGTTGTTTTCATTTTTCCATAATCTTTTATTGTTATGTGAAATATCAGATAGTTTGGCCTTTTTAGGACTCGAAAGAGAAGTTGAATTAAAAAATCTGAGAATTTGACCTTTTTAGGACTCGAAAGGGAAGTTTAATTAAAAAAATCTGAGAGTTTTTTGGGATTAAAATGCTCCTTTTACAAAAATGGGTGCTTAAAAAAGGATCCGTTTGCAAAAAACATGCAGCAAACAGTTAAAAATACGGTAAATGTCACATGTGTCTCTCCAGATAACGCCATCGTCTACGGAAACAGCATCGACGTTTTCACCACCGTTGAGACTTTGCTCAACCTCGGGATTCTGGGTAATCGTATCCATGTCGTCTTCACGCCTCCCGAGCCCGGCGCCTCCTGCTTCAGCGACCCGGAGGTGGAGAAAGCTGTGGCGACGGCCCTGAAGAAGGCCGAGGTTCAGGTCCACCATCACTGCCTGCTGGCCCTCATGAACAACGGAGAAAACCCCGACCCCCTCACATCTGTGACCTTCACTACAGACGCAGAGACCCTCAATCTGCAGTGTGGGGTAAATCAACAGTCTTATTGTTAACCTGGAAATGTAGAGTACCCCAAAGTGTTATGATAGAAATGTATAGTAGGGTCCCACAGCACATAGAAACTGCTGGATGCTAACTTTTATATAGAATAGAATAGAATCGGAGAGATGAAACCACAGCAGGGCCCAGGAGGTGAACTGGGACCTCTCCACGTAGCAGTCCACACTCCATATTCAGGTCTGTTCGGGGACTTGAACCGGCGACACTACGGCTCACAGTCCAAGCCCCTACTGACTGAGCCACTGCCGGACTATATATGTTTCGCAGTTTGCACAATTGGAATAAGTTGAATTAATTAGCATATGCAGACAATGGTTAACAAATTGCTTGGCCGATTTGGAATTTCCTTGTAGGGTTGTTGGGGGACATTGAGGAAGCTGAATCCATGGCACATTTTCAGGATCAAAAATGGCAGTTTTGGGCCATAATTGTGCTCCCGGATCTTAAACATTCCAGAAATGTAGTCAGCATCCTCAATATACCTCAAAAACCACACCAAAAATGTCCAATTCGGCCAAGCCATTTTTTTGCTATTGTCTGCCAATTGCCCAAATTATGCAAGTTACCATCCGGCAGTTTCTGTGTGCTCGGGACCCGTACAATACATATCATAATGTTTTGGGGTACTCAACATTTCAGGCTTCACACTGCTGGCAAGTAGACTAGCATGTCTGCTTGTCCAGTTAGTTATTAGTGTTCACTGAAGTAAATATTTCCCTAACAATGCTGGGTTACTGTCCAGGGGACCATGAACGAGCGGCTGGCTGGATTTTAATTCCCCTCCTGGAAGCAGACTGTGTTTGTGGAGCACAGAAAGATGTTGGTGTGTTTCCCATTCCCATTGTTTCAGACAGTAGAGGATTGTACTCTCCAATTGTGTGTTTGTTTTCCTCATTTTAGGCTGAAATAGAGGCACCCTGCAGATGAGGTCTCGTTGTTTTTATATTTTGTTAAACCATGCAGGTTCCAGAGCATTCAGAAATTTTTCTAGGCTGGAAATATATTGACAGATTTGTTAGCTGTGAAGGATACAGAGAAAGTGTAGACAAAACTAGAGCTGCACAATGTTATCAGATCACAATATGGTCCATGTGTGGGAGAGAAACATCACACTACAGGAAAGGGAAAACTCCAATAGGGCCTTTTGAAAACTACTGTCTAGCTCCACAAGTTTAATCACAGAAGTTGGTTTGTGTGGAAATGTGTTCATCTGATCATATATCATTTATTTAACAGGTAAAAGTCTCATTGAGATTCAAATCTATTTTTCAACAGCGACCTGGCCAAGAGGGCAGCATGGAGAAAGTTACAACAAATGAACACAAACAATACAAGCAGACGAATACAGCTGTAGAACACTAATGAACACATTACCCAGTCAATATGCAAATAAAATAACTATTATAAAACACTCAAAACTGGCACAATTTTAAAACTACTTCAATTATGGGATATACGAGCAATCACATCGACCAATGGATTCTTGTTCTCCGTCCTTTAAGACTTGAACTCCCCCGTAGTGATCAAATCTGACAGTTTCAGCTCCTTCTGTACTTTATTCCAAGCATAGATGAGAGTAACACCTACGTCACTTCCGGGCGACAACTAAGGCCCCGCCCACTTTTGGGGGGAAAAACCGCTGTCATTTGATTGGCGGTCGATACAAATTCTGAAGTTTTTGCCAATCTGATCAGAAATGTAAGAAAACCGTGGATTCCCGATTGCGATGGCCAGTCAGGCGAACAATTACATGAAATCATTGGAAATCTACGATCGGGCTCGATATATGGTTAAATTAAAATCAGTAGGCGAGGCCGTCATTTCGCCGGCTGTTACTCTCATGAGCGAGGCGGGAAATAATTGGACAGTAAAAGAAGAGCTCTGTGGCTTCAGGCTCGATCGCCATTCAGATGACAGCGTTGGTTTCCCCCAAAAGTGGGCGGGGCTGTAAATGCTATATTTAACCATATATCGAGCCCGACCGTCGATTTCCAATGATTTCATGTAATTGTTCGCCTGTCTGGCCATCGTGATCGGGCTCTTTGAAGATCAGAAAATCCACGGTTTTCAAACATTTCTGATCGGATTGGTAAAAACTTCAGAATTTGAATCGACCGCCGTTTAAATGACAGCGTTGTTTTCCCCCAAAAGTGGGCGGAGCCGTCATTTTTGCCCGGAAGTGACGCATGTGTTACTCTCATGCATGCATATTAAAATCATGACATCCCAAAAAACAGAAAACATATCTTGTTTTTCTCCTTTCAGGTGTTCATTAATCTCTCCAATAAAGCCGTGGACTCTGAGGCCTTCCGGAGCATCAACGACTCCTTCCTGGTGTTCGACAGCAGACTCGTCATAGACGCCACTTTCCACACCAGCGATTCCTCCATTTCTGCAGCCGGACCTCTCACCAAATTCTCCCGCAGCTACTACTCCGACGAGTGGTCGAACGCAAACTTCAACTCTAAGGAGGTGGGCCGGGATCTGGCGGCCATGTTGCTGCGTCTCTTCGACCCCACGTTGGAGCCCGCGATGGAGACCCCTCCAGAAACAGAGCGCCTCGTTCCGCTGTACGGACAGGCCAAGATTCAAGGTGTGTGTGTGTGTGTGTGTGTGTGTGTGTGTGTGAGAGAGTGTATGTGTGTCTGTGTGTGTGTCTGTGTGTGTGCCCATGTTTGTGTGTGAGAGAGAGAGTGTGCCTGTGTGTGTGAGAGAGAGTTTGTGTGTGTGTGTGTGTGTGTGTGTGTGTGTGTGTGTGTGTGTGTGTGTGTGTGTGTGTGTGTGTGTGTGTGTGTGTGTGTGTGACAAAACGTAGCACCTAGTTATTCCGTTTATTGACTCTTTTGCATACAAAAATTGGAACCCAATGGAGCAGCCACTTCTCCACATGCCCTTCAGCGGCCGTCTCCCACACACTGATGACACACTTGTTCCTCTTTTGTTGTGGTGAGTCATCTATGGGAATGAATGGGACTTCTATAAAACCCTGGCCCCCTTAAAAACCACTTCAGTGCTGCATTAGCTCTCCTGATATTCAATTCCCACGTGTCGTATCTTTATTATAAACCTTAAATTCCTTCACATTCATCAGGACTGCTTCTCAGTATATGTTTCAGCGTCTCTCAGTTTACCTTTTAATACTCTTCCTGCTGTCCATGCATGTTTTTATCAGTTTGTATCTGACTGAATTCACCAGCATTACCTTGGAGCGTTTTCCAAACCTTTACCTGCCCACCCACTGCTCGTGTTATTTGGTCGAACACTCAAACCATAGCGGGGCGTAACAATGGTGCATTGTGCTGCCGTGTATTCACGAAGGAACCAAGGCCACTCCACAGGTCACACAAACACGACAGCCACTCTCACGGGGATGAAACACACGTGAACTTTTCAGAGAGCAGAGGGCGAATCATCGAGGATACATACATAACGCTCTAAAAACAACATGCCTGTGTTATATACTCAGCTGAGTTGTGAACGGACTTCATCCCACACAATTTGCAATGGTCACTTTTTATCTGGCCCCATATTCCCTTTTTAGCATGTGTCATACATTTACTTTTGATCTAGTTTTGAGGCACATTTTCACCATACACTTCTACACAATTCGGGCCTTTTAACTCTATACTTTAACCGGATGATGGACCGTTGTAGTGGGACGTCTTCTAGATCTTGAGTCTTCGGTAAAACAAGCTGAGCAAACTTTCGCAGCACTTCTATCCTACAGTATGTCAACCGAATTATAACCGAGTTAATAAACTCTGGGTCTTTTTGTTAGACTGCTTTATGCAATATTTTCACCTGTAGTCACTTGGTACATTTTGTGAGTACTCTGCGCTTATTTACTCACCGTTGATGCCGTAATTGGTCTTTTAACTGTTGCACGTAATGTCTTCAATTACTAATTATATTTCTGAATAATCCCTCAGGCTACAAAAAGTAAGGAAACAACCACAAATATATTAACAACCTCCTCACACCTGAACCTTCCTCCTCTCTCAGGTGGGAAGCTTCCCGGAGGATTTCACTTCCTGCAGGTCACTACACCGTCTGCCACCCAGCTGACCGCTCCTCCTGTTCAACAGGTAAGGTTTTAATATAAACAACAGACTGGGCTGTGTTTTATTTTTGGAGAAAAAAAAAAAAAAATAGAATATCACTGCCTTGTCTTTTAATCCATGTTTTAACGCGTGGCGGTGCTTTCAATAAATTACTCCAAATAAAGAATCCCTCTACAAACTCCTGAAGAACAAGAGAACTAACTAACGTCTGCTTGAAGACACGTCAACATGTCAGAAAATAGTGAAGAATGTTCATGTCGTTGTTCTTGTTTAGTCAGTCCAACCCCCCCGAGAAATCACTTAAATATGAATATATTAAACCGAGGAAAGCCGGAACTCTCCATATTCAAGCGGCTGAAAACAGCATTTTCTTTAAATATTGAATTAAACATTTCTTCAACGACCATTTGTTTGCAGTGTGTGATGAATACTAAATCAGCAGGATTCTCTTTAAGTACAGAAAACAGATACATCATCTTCTGAAACTCTTGAAGATAACATCCACTGATTATTCCTTTAAGAAAGATTCCTAAGTTGAAAAAGTGAAATGTGTTTTAATGTAAGAGACTTTTCATAACATAGTGTTTTGTTGCAGGACAGCTGCTTGGTCACGGGGCGTGTGGAGACGGGGAACTACTTCTCGTTACACCTGGACAGCTACGAGCAGGTGGAGGCGCTCACCTGTCTCTCCCTGAAGCCCCTCCCCCTCTCCAACTACCTGAGTCTGTATGGTAAACAGCAGCAGCTGCTGGGCCAGCTGAGCAGCCGCTACCAGCAGGGCCTGATCCCAGACCTGCACAGGTGAGGAAATACAATCGAGTAATATATCCCACTGCTTTTACTTTGAACCAGGGAATGATCATTTGTTCAAAAGATTCAAAGTCAAGTCAGTCAGAGTCAACATCTTCCACTTTGTGTGTACGGACGGAGAGATCGAAATACCGTTTCCCACAATCCCAAATATAAAAACAAATGTATATAAAAATATAAAAATGTGTATATAAACACAGTCAAAGACACATTTGTGCACACATTACCTAAATAAAAACACAACAATCAATATATACAAAATAACAGTCACTTCAATATCTTTGGAAAATGTGCATTAGTGCAAGATTGTCCAGAGCAGCGCTAAAAAAGGTTTCAACGGTTTTAATGTAATTTGCTCATAAGCTACAGGGTAGAAATGGCTATGAAAATCTTCTGACATGAGTTCCTCCAACGATGCAACATATATAATAAAATACTAAAATAGTGCAAGAACAATTAACCCTTAGATGCATAAGTGGGTCTTTTGGACCCGGTGAGGTGGTTTTCCTGAAGTATCTTTGTAATTACATTTCATATTCCAGCTATTCCTTTTGGATATCAGGCCATTCACATTTTAAATTTACATTTTAAGAAATTATAGTTTTTGTATTTCTACCCCAAGCTTCCATAACCGGGTCAAAAAAGGACCCGCATGCATTTTCTATGGGATCCTATGGGAAAACGTTTTTTTTTCAAAATGTAATTTTTTTTTTCTAAAATTATAAATAGTGAAAAATTAAATACAAAATATTTCTAGTGGGAACCAAAATATAATACTAAATATTTCCAAAATGGCATAAAAACACATATTATTCTAATACGGGTCCTTTTTGACCCACTTATGGAAGAGTGCAGGGTCCAGGCACTCTAAGGGCATCTAAGAGTTGATAGAATGATGGTGTAATGTTTGTGGGGTTTCGTACGAGACAAAGATTAGTTTTAGTCTGTCTGATGATGTGGAAGCAGTTCAACAAGTAAATCAATTGTTTGTAAACATTATCCTTTGTTTGTATCAGTTTATGAACAGTTATTTTCTAAGACCTGGGGTTGGTTTCATGAAGATCATTTACAGCTACTGTCAGCAGTTCATGTTGTTCACATACAGTAGCACCTTTCAAAACCTGTAGGTACTTTACAAAATACTACTATCTGTAAAGTGTTACCACAGAAAAATGATTTTACAAGCTGGTTCTTCTGATGACAACGTGTTGCCCAAGAAAGGATACTATTGTGTTTCACTCACATTTGACTTGTTCTCACTCTTATCAGCGTAAGTTAGGAGGTAAACAACCAGCGTACATGTCAACACACCTGCAGGAGTAATGATCACTGTGTTCCATCAAAGGCATATTCACTTCTCTATTACCGCGTTTTCTACCGTTTTATCGTTCACTTCCCTCCGCCTCTTAGCGTTGCAATGTCATTTATTCACAATTATGGATATCTGGCAGGTGGCAGGTGTTAGAGTTCTTAAAAAACACTGTGTTCATAAGCAGCTTCTGAACAAGAGCGAGCCACCTGCTGAAGCCACTCTGAGACAGCACCTGTTCCCAGAGAGCTGCAGGTAGAGAAACTTCCCATCATGCATCTGGGACTGACGACCCCACACTTCAGAACAACACCGAACACACGAGAGAGATTCAGGCCTTCAGTGTCCTTTGTCCTCCGCTGTGTGTGTGTGTGTGTGTGTGTGTGTGTGTGTGTGTGTGTGTGTGTGTGTGTGTGTGTGTGTGTGTGTGTGTGTGTGTGTGTGTGTGTGTGTGTGTGTGTTAGAGAGAGAGTGACCTGCTTCTGAGGTTTCAACACAAATGACCCCCAGATATGGACGTCCATTGTCCCCCGCCTTCTAATCTGTTTATGCAGCTCCCCAATCTGTCTCTGTGGCAGAGCAGGGGCGAGACAAAGCCAAGACTCCCCCCTCACACACCCTCACACACACACACACACACACACCCACACCCTCCTCTC